CCCCTTTCCGCGCCTTCCCCCAACCTCCCGAAGCTTTTGTTGTTCCCAATGCAGTCCAGGCAAGACGACAGAACGACATGGCGTACTCGGCCAATAGCTCACAGGCCACTCACGTGACCCGCAAGCGCTCGCTGGCAATTAAGATAAGGCCACATCGGGTTTCCCCGCTCTAATCGTGGCACGTCGACGCGTCAACGGGGAATCGAGCAGCAATGGTCTGAGCAAGGACTGAGGGTGTGAGGGCGAGGGAATAACAAGCAAGAGGGACAGACAGACAGACAGACAGACAGACAGTCAGACAGTCAAACAGACGGAAAGACAGGCGCACAGACAGACAGACAGACGGAAAGACAGGCGGAGAGACAGACAGACAAACAGATTGGCAGACAGACAGACAGACAACGAGACTGTCAAAATTATGACAGGCACAGACAATAAGAGACAGCCCGACCGATAAATCTGTCCTCGTTGTTTTATGAAAGAAAAATTCTGAAATTATGCAAACTGAACCCGAAAATGTGAAATTATGCAATTCTGTAAATTTTAACAAAGAAGGATAAAGGAAAATAATAACAAATTATGCAAAAAATGATCAAGTTTTGCTAAATTATGCGGGGTGCATAAAACCATGAGGACAGATAAATTCACAGGCAAATATACGGACAAATAGGCGAGCGCCAGGAAGGGTCACAATCAGCTGAGAGACAAGGCAGACACATTATACAGCAGTTATTATTATAGTATTTATAGAGATACAAGTAGATAGATAGGTAGATAGACAGATAGATAGATAGAGATAGATAGATAGAGAGACAGATAGATAGATTGATAGAAAGATAGATGGATAGATAAGGAATACACAATGTATAAATAGATAACATAAAATACGGGTAAACAAAACTTGAAATTCAATTTAGTAATTATAGATACGAGTAGATACGTAGAAAGATAAATAGATAGATAGAGAGAGATAGATAGAGAGACAGATAGATAGATTGATAGAGAGATAGACAGATAGATAAGTAATACACATTATATAAACAGATAACATAAAATACGGGTAATTAAAACTTGAAATTCAATTTAGCAGGTAAGACGTACGTATGACACAGCCAAAAACCAGCCAAGTTGACAGAGACAAAATTAGACATAAAATAGAACAAAAATCTAATGCCAAGATCCGACAGATATAGAAAAGATGAAACTGAGCAAGTAAATTTTAATGCAGTTGGTTTTGGTTGGGGGGG